ATCGTTTTCTTTGGCATAACCTTGTTATCGCGTGAATTGGCTAAATCACGCGTGATCTTCCAATTCTCCTTTGATTTTGTGATGGAAGTGGAGCGTGCTTGCAGGCGCTGAACGTCTGAAGGGAGGGTGCATCTATTACGTTACGCACCCGTTACGAATCCGGTGAAAAGCCAGGGTTGGACATCAGTGAAGCAGTGAGCGTACCTTCCTAAAACCACTCTAAACAAATTTTTGGTGGAATTGAGACATAAAACTATCAAACCAGCATGAAACAGCAGCTCTCTCCTCCCGTCTTCAGCTAATAAACATGAAAAGATGTTTTTATTTTTCATAATGAAGTTTGGGAAGACCTAAACATAGTACCTCCTGACCGGCTTTGCTGCTGAGAGCCACACAACACATCGGCTTTCTTTTGGGAGCGTCATTTATTCTGCAGTGACGGAGGAGCTCTGCATTACCTGGAAGATTCAGTCCTAAAGCAGATGCATGTTAGAGGCCTAAAGGGCTGGGGCTGTAACTTCCTTATGAAGGAACCTCCGAGAGGTCCGTTAAATCAGCCGGACGACTCAATGGTCAGCGCGGTCCATGGGGATGATCTTTTGGCGTTTACGCTGCAATATCTGCGCGCTGGTCTGAATTTGAAAACAACATTAGCCGGAAAAAAACAAGGAGCAAAGTTGAAGAAAATTATTTTTAACTAGTTTGAACATTTCAGACAAAAGCAGAAATAAATGATCTACAGATTCATAATCTAATTAGCTGAGCACATATCTCAGCACTACTGACCAGACAGCTTTTATGTTAATCAACAGGACTGCTAATGGAGGTGAATGAACTGAATAAAAGACTCTGTGGAAATAAGATTTATGCAAAAAAATAAAAAATAAAGGCCTGCAAGCACCGCAAAGCTGCTCAGCAATGCATCTGGGACAGCAGTAGCTCGGGAGTAGAGGCTGACCGATATGGGTTTTTTAAGGCCGATGCCGATTTTTTAAGAATTTCGTTGCCGATATCTAAAACCGATTATTAAGGCCGATAGATACATTCACACGTTTTAGCAGCACATTGATTGTGAAAGACAACTGAACACTTACTGCGTATAATTAAATAAGTCAATAAATCTCTTAATATTTATTGAACTTCAAGAAAAAAACTCAAAACATAAAAAATATGGTGTGTTGGGGTGCTTTGGGTCCTTTCTTCGGTTTAGTAGTGGCGGTAGCTGGCCACACAGGTGCCCGAGTGTTTTTATTCATTTATTTATTTTATAAATCGGCTTTTAAAAATAATTTCCGCCAACGGCCGACAGAGAATAAATTGAATACACCTGTCGGCCTCTACTCAGGAGGGTTGTCCAGTAATCAGAGGGTTGCAGGTTCAATCCCAGCTCCAACCAGAGAACGCTGTTGGGTTGTGGCCTTGGGCAAGACACTGGGCAGTGGTGCACCTGTCGGGCTGAACGGATCACCGCCTCGTTCCGGCAGTAATCAGCCAACAGGTTGATATTTGTCAATATGAAATCTTTAAACTGCAGCTTTTCAGAGTTTGTTCCCATGTGTTTTGTGCTGAAATTCACAAAAAAAGAAACAGATTTCAGAGAAAAAGACTAAATGTGCTCAAAACTCGACCTGAACTTGCCACGACCCTCCCTTGACCAAATGTCACAAACTGCAGGGAGACCGGGTTGCGTGGCAGCAATCAGACAAACATCAGTTTCCACGAGCGCACGTTTCTCTGAGACTCTGGAAAACCTACAATCGTATCTGCTGCTCCATGTGGCGGCGTCGCACCACGGCCCAGTTCCATCTGTGGGAATCTGGGCTTCTGGCAAACATGAAAAAAGAATCAATCATAAAAAAAAAAAGTCAGGTCTCTGCTGGACTGGGAACTCCTAATACTTTAAGCTGCAACACTGAGTACCTGATTACTTTCCTCGACTTTCTAAACTGCTTCCTGTACTGAGGTGGCTCCAATAAACAAACAGTTATTGCAGCCTTGCAGTTATCCGCTGCCTCACACCTAGTAACCAAAACTGAGTTGAGTGTTTTAGTCTACATCTTTGTTTTAATTGCTGGGAAATTGATGCTCAATTGCAAATAACTTATTTTCAGACACCTACTCCTGCTGCAGATCACTGCATCAAACACAAGAGCTACCATCGTGCAGAGAAGGCGTGAGCTGCATCCTGCATTAAGCAGCTGGAGCGATTGGCACTTGTTCCCAAACAGCAAGAATCAAGATTTACTTTTTCTTCTCATTTCCCTTTCCAAGTTGTTTGAAATAATCCAACAAATCTTGCCTAGAAAGCTGAAATATTTGCAGAAACAGATAAAACTTGCTAATAACATTTAGAAGAAACCAGTCAAACAATGGTACGGTGAGACTAAACACAGAGCTGCTGCTGCTAGAAACAGACGAGGTCCTGCTTTTACTCCGTGGGACAGAACAATTATGTGTTTGCAAAAAAAAACACAACAGTTGAGTAAATGTCTGCAATCAGTCCCTGCAGCGCTGCCCCAGATGCTGCAGGTCAACATACCCAACTAGGAAGTCACATAAACAACAACACGTAATTAAAATGCACCAAGGCAGCTAATGTCCCACATGGACGCATTCCTACACACAAGGCTGTTTATCCGAGCCACGAAACATGCTTACGGGAATCCCGACTCCCCGCTCTGGCTGTTTTAATTAGCACTGTTGGTGTGGGGAGAAATAAATAAAATATATATGAATAAAAACCACAAGGTCGGATCTCCTTATACTATTATATTCACAAGCCTAACAACTAAAAGAATTATTCAGTCTCTTAAAGGGACTTTACGGAGTTTTGAATTTTTATGCTCGCGATTGACCCCTCAGGCCACAAGAGTAACGGCAGCTTCAATAGTAGGCTCGTGCACGAGGCGCGCATGCTGTACGTGCACACTCCTTAACGAAAATAACAGCTGAGACAGTCCCGTGTGTGTGTGTGTGTGTGTGTGGGTGGGGGGGGGGGGGGGGGGGAGGACAAAGGACAGGAGAACGTGCAGCTAATTAATTAAATAATGTGGTTCTGTACCTTTCTCTTCAGCACAGCCGACAAAGGTTTATGATGGGTCAGTCCTCCTGCATGCTCAGATCATTCCCTTCCCTTGCTTGAAAAATTGTTCCAAAATGAAAGTTGAACCCACATCTTTTTTATCTGTGAATTCAATGCCGTTCGGAGAGTCTCAAATAAAAAATTTGGGCATCTTACTGTAAAAAAATATACCATTAATGTAAAAAGGAAACTAAATGATTTACATCCAGAATTGAACCCAGGTCTTCTGCATGAAAGTCCACCGTCTTACTAGGTGAGCTAAAGCACCAGTGACATCTTTTGTATCTGTAACATTTATATCCTTGATGACAGCTGAAACAACGTTAAAAGAACGCTTCAGAGCGAAAATGGCTATTTTGTTGCTAATTTGCAGGAAATATCTAGAAGAAAGTTCTACAGAAAGTAGCTAAGGGTCCTCAGAAATGTAGCTAGCTTTGTCACTAGGCGTTAGGAACAGCGACAAAGTGGCACTGCCTCTCTCTCTGCTGCTAAAGCTACGGATAGCAAATGCTACGGGCGATGCCTGAGCGTGAACGCGCATGAAGCAGCCTGCTCGACCCGAGCATCTCTCTTTTTCTGTGATTTTACAGAAAAACAGGCAATCACAGTAAAAATGCCAGGGCTCATTCTACAGGACCAGGGCATTGCAGGAGAATGTGTGAAGAAGACATTTATTATTTCTATACATGTTTTGGCTGTCAAACTTCCATAATGTCCCTTTAAATACAAATCTGATCATTTATGCAGTCTTGTGATTTACCTCCGATTCCCCAACAGTTAACACCTGTTTCACCAGAAAAATGCCTTCAAGGTGAAATCAATCCAAGACTCATCAAAATAAACAAGATCCATCCGATCCGAAACTCCCTCACCTTCCTCTAAACCTTTATCACCACACCAGAATCTGATTTCATAACCCGCACAGATCAACACAACGCTGTAGACAAATGAGGCTGCCGGTCACTCATGACCGAGTTTTCTGGATGTTTTATAAATTATAACCAGTTCAACGGGAGCTCAAGCTTCTTTAACCACAACTGTCACAAGCAGAAACAACGTAACCCCAAAGGAAATTCATTTAAAGTCCGTGCCTGCAGGATGAAGTTAGTCTTAACGTCATCCCATTCCCTGTCCTCTTGCCAGCTCTGACCTCTGGTTTGACCTTTAGAATGAGTCAAACACAGAACTGAGACATCTAAACAAACCCCTCTGAGTGCTTTCGTCCACAGCAGCTGCAACACTCGTGAATAATTTCACACGCTGACAGTCTATGTGTTACTGTCCCGGTGATGAAGAGGAGGCTGGGTGGACCCTCAGCCCTCCTGACTGAAGGTGGCCTTCTGCTGCCACAGCGCTGCGTGGATCCGCGGAGACAGACCCAGACGCTGCATGTCAGCTGTAATCCTCGCACTGAGCTCAGAGCCATCATTAGAGGTCAGATGGGAAAGCCAGGAAAGCGGGAGGGAGGCTGGAGGAGACAAACCTGGCAAAGGGAGGAGGAGGAAGGAAGGGAATCCAAACTTAACTCAGGGACAGAATGAACTCCGCATCCAGATGTTGGGCGACATCAGATTACAGATTTTCTAGGAAAGACTCGCGTCATCAAACAGCTGGATGGATTTGCGCTGAAAAGCTTTCAACTCAAAGCAGAGAGGGCGCAAAACCAGCAGACCGCGCTTCGTCCTCCTCGCGTAGCTGTGCGCCTCAGCTCCACCGAATAAATAAAGCTAAATGTCCTTTTCTAAGAAAGTGGAAGCGTCATCCTAAATAATTAATGCGTTCATGGCAGCACCTGTGCGCCAGCTGGGTGACGCGCTGAACCCAAACCCACAATTCCTGCTAATCCGAGTCTGTGTGGCGTTTAGGTGGTGGGAATAAACCCGAGCCCCTGGAAAGTTTGCTGTCAATATTTCCTTACCTTCGTTTTCAGCAGCCAGGGCTGCGCGGGAGCTCACGGGTGAACCAGAAACGGAAATCTCCTCCTGCGTCTGTTCGCTTGTACAATCCCCAACAAGTCTTCTCGTTTGGCTCGGTCTCACTCCGACATCTCTCGGTGTACTCCTCCTCCCAGCTGCCCGTGTGCGTATTTACGCGGGTACGACAGCAGCTCCCCACCGGCCACCTCCAACTGAAAACGCTGCTGGTGAAACACGCTTCGTGTCGTCGCTGTGCACTGACTCGGTGGTCTTGAGGCGCTTCTGCGGCTCCCAACCAACATCAGGTAACTCCAGACTCACCTGAAGGACAGGATGACGCTCCGAAAGCTGCGCTGCTGCCCCCACGTGGTCACCGGGACGCACCGTTTAGGATTCACAAAACACAAACAGAACTATAAATGGTTGAAAGGTAAACAGTAAATAAATAATACGTGCACCTACATGAATAAACATCAGTTTATGTATGAACTTGTGAAATAACAGTGTTGTCATTTTCTAAACTCAACATAGTTTTTTGTCACTTTTTTCATTTAGAAAATGAGCTTAATTATTTAAAATTTAATTTCAGATTGACCCTGCTCCCGCCCCCAAAACTACAAATTATTGTTGAGGGACTTAGAGATGAGGTGCAGCTTCGATTGCATCAAGGACAGCTTCCTATTGGTTTTAAATGGAGGGGGCGTGGCTTAACACTAGTACTGCAGCCAGCCACTAGAGCACGTTTTGAATCATTCTAGACATTACCTTCTTTGTCTAGCTCAGGGGTGTCCGAAGCTTTCGAGGGGGGTCCGAAATCTTCATGTTAAGACCCCACAGGCCACAAAAATGTACATTTATAAAATGTAAAACTATAACGATTATTGTATTCATTATTTATTTTCCCATGTGTGCCACTCCAAATAGGTCCAAAACAGGGATATTAACAAAAATCTGAAAATAGGCACACCCTACGTCAGGGGTCCCCAACCTAGAGCCTGCGAGTACCATGGTGCTCCAGGAACCATACTTTTCCTCCAAATAGCACAAGTCTGAAATTACTTAAAAAACTTCTGCTGCCATCTTATATAATCACAAATATGTATCATTATACATGATGTTTAATTTAACTCTGATCTATTCTAGTTCAAAGGTCACTTCTGTATCAACCTGGTACCCTTCGAACGGCTCAGTAATCGTGAAGAAGCTCAGCTTCACAGAGGTGGGTGACCCCTGCTCTACGTCAGTCTGCTGGAGACCAAATTCATCATTCTGGAAATGAGATCATTCTGAGTGCACTAAATCACTCAGAGCAGGGAATGGACCTCAGACCGAATGTGGACACATCTGGTCTAGATGTTAAAAGGGCAATTGTCAACACAAAACGAGGAGAAACGGGTGGTAAATAACAAAAGTTGAACAAAAGCAGCCAGAACTCCATGATGTCTGAACAAAAGGTTTGAATGTGTGGGTCATTCATTTAGTCAACCCCAGATGCTCCAGGATCAGTAGAGGAGTCGGCTAAAGCAGAGAGTGGCAGAAAACGACGTTACTTCCTGACATTTGGACATCTCTCCTCTGATTGGCTAAAAGCCACGGCACTCTACACTACTCTGCTCTGCAACGTTGAGGTTTTATCTCCACAAATAACACAAGCCAGGAGTTCTGCAGTGTGGTGGCGTTGCTAATGGCATGCTAACAGTTAGTTTCTACAAGCAGAGACGTTCTCTGCTGTTACCTGGACGCTAAACCAACAGCAGCCTTCCAGCCTTTTACATTCATTCCTGGAAATATCCATCAACATGTTGTTGAAAATGAATGACAGTATTCCCAATTATAACATACAACCATAAAAATCAGATCTAAAATACATGGGAGCGGGTCTAAGCGACGCCATAGATGCCTTATGTCATTCTACAGGAGCCCATGAGGACAAAATGCATTTACTGATTTGTGACGAGCGGTTACAAAACTTTCCTCATTCCTAAATGCTGTTTTATGTTTACCTATTAGCTTGTTGCCACTGATGTGCTCGTTATTTAGCTAGTTAGCACTCCCCAGGGCTTTTTGACCCTAACGGGCATCTGTAGATAATCTTACTCCAACACAAAAATACTGCTTGCTTGCAACAATTTAGGCGTCTACTGCTCCCTATCGCCAGAAATAAATACACACTGTCGCTTTAAGCCACTTTAAGTGACAGAGTGACATAGATCTGTCAGGATTTTCTAATCTTAGAGTTCCACCGTCCGTTTTCTATCAGAAGCTAAAGCCAGGGATCGGTGTAGGAGACCATTTTCATGCTCATCCTGCATATTAATCTCAGACTAACCCGTCAGAATCAGAAATGATCATTAAAATGTTTTTTTTCAGTGTTCCACACCTTTACACACAACAAATGGAAGAAGTTTTATGTTCCAGGTTTTCTTTTTAATCCAAACAAAAGCAACCAAACTAAACGTGTTTACCTTTTAGCAGAACAGTGATGTGTAACATTTGGGAAAAAGGAAATAAAAACCGATTTTCTAACTTAAAAGTTTTAATGAAATGTGCCTTTAAAGTAGCCGTATAATAAAATATAAACCAAATGGCTCAAACTTTTTTTTCTGCTGCTTCGGCTTCATTTCTACTTAAAATCTTTCATGTGGAAAATGTAATAAATACAGAAATAAGATTAGATCATTTCCAAAACCTGCAGATGGTTTTCACTCCTCCTTTGTGCTGTAAACATAATACAGATGTTTATCTTTTGTAACACATTAAAACCAAAGCTACAAAGCTTTGATTTATTTCTGTATTTCACTTCCTGTTGGGAAGACGCAGGTCAAGTTAAACTTGAATAAACGTTCGTCATCACTCAGGCTGCATTCCTCTTAAAACTTATAAAGTCGCTTTCTAAAAGCGACCAGAACGCTTTTTCTATTCACTTTAAGCTTCATGACAACTAGATTCCAGTCTTTTAAGGCTATGATGTCATAATCTGCAGTTTTCACTTCAATAATCTGCATAAAGTGCGTTTAAAACCATAAAACCTCCTGAGTTCAGATCAGTGCAAACAAAACCGATGCTTTTGTGAGGTCTCTTTGTAAAACCCAGCTGTTGACATTCGGTTGCATCAGGCACAGATCTGCTCGCATCATAGTCAAACATCACATTTGGAGGCAGCCGACTCCTTCCTAATTGGCTCTTTCTGACATGAATCAGCTTCAGAACTAGTCAGGTACGACCTTTGGCTTCTCAGCGAATGTAAACAACATTTTCTCCACACTCCAGCTGTGCTTATCTGATAAATGACGACAGAAGGGAAATAAAACAGCTGGCTTTTCACATCTGGCAGTTTTTGACTATTTTAACAGTCATCCTTTTAAAGAGCAAGTCACCCCCAAATCAACTTTTTTTTGCTGATAAACTATATAAATGGGTGTCTGATCGTACTGTAGACAGATGCCATCAATAATTTGGCGCTGTAGTGCATCTTTGTTAAAATATAAATATTCTGCCTTAAACTGTTAGTGTTGCACCCCCTTCAGGTAAAAACTCTGCACTGCATTTTAATTTAAATCTGCCATTGTTATTGGCTAAGAAGTATCAAATGACATCAGCTGGTACCATATGATGTCACAATGTCATTGTGAACCTGTATTTGTGCGTATTTGTTAGCAGCTCCTCCCTCTCGGTCTGCTTGGCAGCAGCATTTATTTGCATTTTTCAAACAGGAAGTGGGAGTGGAGTACGATTCTGGTAGGGGGTGACTTGCTCTTTAAGTAAAATCTCTCTAAACTGGAACAGCAGTCGGTTCTACAGCTACAGCTCATAACTTAAACAAATAAATCATCTTAAGATGATTCATGCAACCGTCCTCCAGTTTATCACGTTTATTCCTTTTTACTTCAGCTGTGGTTGGAGAGCATCCTACATCGCACCATGCTGCACGTTCCTCTCGTAGTTCTCCAGGCAGATGTGGACGCGCTGAGTGAAGTAGCTCGGGTCCGAAATGGCCCGGAGCAGGTCGGTCTGGACCAGGGTGATGTCATACAGCTCAAAGGTGGAGGCGGTGCGGGTGTCAGAACCACCAGGGTCCAAGAAAACCTGAGAACATAAACGATCAAAATGACTATTATTAAAGGGGTTCTAGAATAATTTTGTTTTTAATCATTAGAAACTGCGCCTTGTGGTTTTTACTTTCAGAGGCGCTAGATAAACGTTTGTTCCCTTTCTTTTTCTTCTTTAAGTGCTGATGTATCATATAAAACTTTGTTGGGGCTCACAATGACCCAGGAGCCCTGACAAACGACCACACAGTACCCCATAATGAAGCCTCACAATAGACTAGTTTGCCCACCCAAGCTGTGTGCTGATTGGTCCAGTTTACCCCGATGGCACTAAGACGTTGCCTGAAGCTAGAAACTGTGTACAGCCATGTCCAGATGATCCAATAAAAAAAGCTATGGATCCATCTGGCATTCATTTCAAGTCTAGATATTCTCTGTACATCCTGGAACGTCACATGTTCACTCCAACAATTGTCTTTGTTTTCCTCACTTCCAACAAGCATGTTAGCAGTAACTCAGCCTAGCATTAGCAGTAGCTTGGGCTAGTGGGTTGGGACATGCTAATTTAAGGGTGTGTGTCTAAACTTATGACGCATTAAATCAGCATTTTTCAGAACGAACCGTTTCTCTGTGGCCATTACGATGTTACTAGTTTAAATAGGACAGCAGGTCAGAGACAGCATTAGCAAACACAAAAATACAAAAAAGTTGGGACCCTACAAATCGTGAATAAAAACTGAATGCAATGATGTGGAGGTGCCAACTTCTAATATTTTATTCAGATTAGAACATAAATCATGGAATAAAAGTTTAAACTGAGAAAATGTATAATTTTAAGGGAAAAATATGTTGACCCTTAATTTCATGGTGTCAACAAATCCCAAAAAAGTTGGGACAAGTAGCAATAAGAGGCTGGAAAAAGTAAATTTGAGCATAACGAGGAGCTGGAAGACCAATTAACACTAATTAGGTCAATTGGCAACAGGACTGGGTATAAAAAGAGCTTCTCAGAGTGGCAGTGTCTCTCAGAAGCCAAGATGGGTTTATCATTTCTTCCTGGGTGGTGGTCGTCCCCCCTATCTAGCCACACTCCTGAACAGACATTCCCCATCACGTGCTCTGCGCTCCTCTGACCAAGGCCTGCTCGCTGTCCCTCGTTCTAGGTGTCGTACTCGCGGGGACCGGGTTTTCTCAGTCCTAGCACCGTCACTCTGGAACCAGTTGCCACCCTCAGTTAGGCTGTCCCCATCTCTGCCAGTCTTTAAGAGTCGCCTAAAAACACACCTCCTCCGTTTGGCGTTTCCTGAACTTGTTTGATTTTGGCCCTCTTTTATGTTGAATTTATTTCACAGTTTTCATTGGTTCACTCAATCCATTGTTTTACACATTTGTCCTGTACCAGAATGTTGTAATTTGAATTGCTTTTATTTTTGATTTATTCAATATATTTACCTTCTACTGTACCATGTTCAGCGCCTTGGGCTTCCTAACAGAGTTGCGGAAGGCGCTTTATAAATAAAGCTTTGATTGATTGAGGTCCACCAATTCCCACAATGTTGCGCAGAGAAATAGTGGAGCAATATCAGAAAGGCGTTACCCAGCGAAAAATAGCAAAGACTTTGCAGTTATCATCATCACTGTGTATAACATCATCCGAAGATTCAGAGAATCTGGAACAATCTCTGTGCGTAAGGGTTGTAACAGAATGAAATGACTGTTTTCCACCACAAGTCATTTTCCCCTCTCCTCTGACACAGAACTAGTCTGCATGAGATATGGCCTCAAGGTCTCATGCATTTGTTATAAACTGCTTCTTTCCAGCTCAACAGAAGAATGAAGAAATGACTCTCTCCTTTTAATAAATCAAAGAACTCTATTTTTAATAAAGCTAATCAAACAAAGTGTTAGTCAATAATAAGATGTGACCAATCTGTGAAATCAAAATATTAATTACTTTATTATAATCCTATAGAATATAATAAGTAATATGACTTTAAATGTTTCCACTAGGACTGATCTCACGTAGCGTCAAGAGACAACACATTACTTTTACTGACCCAATCTGAATCTGATGGAGGCGTGGTTTTGGTGGTGTTTGGTAAATCTGTCATCTTTCATTTGACGATAAACCAAAACATCAGAAGTATAAAACTATGCCCACGTCATCTTTAACACCAGTTCAAAGCGTTCTAGAGAAGTTGTCGGAGTGGCCAATCCGTAACTTTCCTCTTCAGCCATAAGAACCAACGACAAGCTGGATAAAATCTGTTGCTGTTCCACCTGCTGCAACGGTTCCTTTCAGAATAAAAGCTGAACCATCACGACCCAGTTTTGGGTCTCACCAGATGCCAATAAAACTGTCGTGACCCGGAAGGATCTCAAAGACTGGTGGTCGGCTGCCGTGGCTGCTTCTACAGGCTTCGGCTCCATAAGGTCAAGCTGGACCTTTACACCTCCTGATCTAGCGGGGACTTCTACTCAGGGTACGTAGACCGATAAATGGCGTCGAATGTGTTTATGAATCTCCTAACCAATGCTTAACGCGAAGACATCACCTTCATTTCCCAACAGAACTAATCGTTTCTTCGGATTTGCTGGTTCTGAGCAACATTCCACATCACACCATTCTCCGTCTCATCCACCTTAGTTACACCATACATTTAGTGTTAAAGTTAGTCTAGTTTAATTTGTTTAGTAATAAACCTTTAAACTTTAAACTCGACTCTTCTGTTGTCTCTGAGTGAAAACGGAGCGGTTATCTAATCCCTGCAATAAAAAGTTCCAATTTTCTGGTTAAAATAACCCAACAGATCCATAAGGTTGATTTCATATTTCCTATGGAATCCTACGCCTTATGGCTCATTAAATAACATGTCATTTAAATCATTACAGGGTCAAGGGCGTAAAACCATCCTGGATGCCCGTGATCTCCGGGCCCTTAAACGACAATGCACCATGAACAGGAATTCTACTGTAAAGGAAATCACAGAATGGGCTCAGGAATACTTCCAGAAACCATCGTCAGTGAACACAACCCACCGTGCCATCCGCCGTTGCCAGCTGAAACTCTACAGTCCAAAGAAGAAGCCATTTCTCAGCAAGATCCACAAGCTCAGGCGTTTTCACTGGGCCAGGGATCACTTCAAATGGAGCGTAGCAAAAGACTGATTATGATAATTACGAATGAACCTTTTAAATATATGAAGTGTTGTGTCCATAGGTGTATTAGTTTGTATTATTCTTTAAATGGAGGTTCATTTCACCTGCTTCCTGGTTTAAACACCTTCATTACTAATCTGGTGGACGTTACAAACAAACATCCTGACGCTTCAGGAGAAGCGGCTGCACCTTTGGGTGGACGATGGTATCCTCGTCGTTCACACGTATGTTGTCGTCGATGAAAATGTGCTGAACCTGTTGGTCGAAAGGGTCGATCCAGACCGGCTTCCCTCCACGAAGGGAAAAGCTGTTGGAAGCCCACCTGGACATGAGATTAGACGTTAGGAAGCTAAAAGCACAGAAGCTTTGTCCCGGTCGGCGTGGAGGCTTACCAGTCAAAGTGGTCCTGGAAACCTCCCAGTCCGTGCACAGCACTGAAGTACTGGTACAGGCCTCTGTCTCCATCCAGAGAGGACGCGCGCTCCTCGGCCCGGCTCACGACGATCGCCCTCTTGCTGCAGCGGATCTTCCCCGGGGTCAGATTCAAACTTAACTGAGTCCAAACAAAAAGACTACATTTGAAAAGGAGCTAGGTTTACAATTCCCCACCCGAATGACACGCTTGATGCCCTCTTACGTTTCAGTAGTCATTGTTGTAAAGAACAGTGAAACATTTTAAATCCAAAGGCGAAGAAAACCAGAATCTCTGCATCTGCTGTGGATATCACCGACACATAATTATAAAAAAGGTTTTCACACATCTAAAAACTACGAAGAAAGGATTCGAACCCTCTAACTCCCACTAAAGAACATTCCGGGGATTCCGCTTTTACTTGACGACATTTAAACAGCATCTCGTTGGAAATCCAGTCACAGGAAACCGGAGCCTCCCGGCCCAAACAAGAGGAAAGGAATCGTTTGAAGGGATGTGAATCTCAGAGCAACTCACAATTTGATTCGATTCTGATTCTCGGGGTGCCGATTTGATTCAGAATCGATTCACAATCAATATTAACAAAGAGTGTCAGCTCCAGGATGAACTACTTTGTTGTACAAGTTAGTTAAAGCTATGAGACATTTTTATTAGACTTTAAACTGGTCATGCTCCAAAAATGCAAATTTACAAGGTAAAATAAAGTGATTCTAAAACTGTAAACAGAAACAATATTTTGACCAAAAGGCAACATTTATTTTTGCTTACCTTGTAAAATATAACAAATCTGTAGTTACCTAACAGTAGCTTTGAAAGTAATACAGTCAAATACTTTTCTAGTATGTGTAGGAACAAGTTACATGAGTAATCCTGAGTACTCATTTATCAACTTAGAAAATACATATGAGAATATCTCTAATTTCTGAGTATGGAAACAATGACATTCTAGTGCTCTCTTATCCGCAGATTCAAACATAAATCATCTCAATTTATGGGACCACAAAAGTAATCAGAGTACGGACTCTCCTAACAAAGATCAAAAAAGTGCATCTCAAACCTGAAACGTGCCAAACATTTGAGTTCTCGGAATCGATTCTGAACCTTTGTGAATCGATTCTGAATCTTTATAAATAAGAATCCCGATTCAGACTTGAATCGATTTTTTTCAGCACCTCTACATCCCAGTGATGATGAAGCCGAGCGGTCCCTTCGTGCTCAGTGATCGATTTCCTCCCCTGCTCTTCCTGTCGCGGCGCATTTCAGCTGAACAGCGTCTGACAGCGAGAAGATTTCCACTGTGCTCTTCCTCTCAGAGCTAAGTGAGTCTGACAGCTTCACTTCTGGACATCTCCATTACCCCCCCCCCCCCCAATCCATCCAGCCTTTAGAGTCACGGGTATCTTCAAGATCGACGTGTTCCACTTCAGCAGGCTAACCGGTATGAAGTCCCTCGGGACGAGAGGCTGCTTTAGACCGAGGCAAGAAAGAATCACCCAGAAGGTTTTACTAGAATAAAAACAATTAGTCCTTAAAATATGTTGTTGGAAACCAAATAGGCTATTAAATGTGGAGCCCCGTTGAGAGGGAAACCAGAGTTTCAAGCTGCCTTTTTCATCGTTGTTTATTTAATTTAGAGTTTATTTAATTAGCAAAAAGCTCAACAGTAACAGGAATTAGGAGCTGATGCATCTTTTTAGCTCCGACTTTATTTGCCACCAACTTTATAAAATTTGTGAACTTGAAAAATATTCCTAAGAGCATCGCCTTTGAAGATAAAATCACAGGGATCTTCACAAGAAACAAGGAACTTTGAAGAAGACAAAACTGGCAGAAACAGAAGCATGAAGAGGAAGTTGTGATGAAGGTCGTGTAAAAGCCTGAACAGGTGTGTTTAAAGGTGACCACTGAGTCCACCGATCTCGGGAGGGGGGGGGGGGGGGGGGGGGGTTCCAGAGTCTGGGGGCCACAGCAGCAGATGATCTGTCACCTTTGGTCACTGGACCTCAGGGACCTGCTGGGGGTGTAGGGACTAAGAAGATCACCAATGTAAGATGGTGCTTGTCCATGTAAGGCCCTATAGACCAGAACCAGGATCTTGAAATGAACCCTGAAGTTGACTGGCAGCCAGTGAAGCTGGAGGAGAAGCGGGGTGATGTGGGCGTGTTTGGAGGACTTGGTCAGAAGCCGAGCACAGGCGTTCTGAACCACCTGTAGACGGTTCAGGGAGGTTCTGCTCAGACACGTGAAAAGTTTCAGTGGTCCAAGTGTGTGGAGATGTTAGACTCTTATTGTGAAGGACTGAAGGAAGTTGTCGCTGCAGAAGCAGCCTAAAGGATCACACCTCATCTTCAATGAAATTCCTCATCAGTAAAAGCTTATTTATTCTCTTATACTCTTTAGCAACAAGCTGCTAGCGTAAGCATCAACCAGTCTGGCTGATCGCACCTCACCTTCAGCTCTGGCAGATCTGGGAACAGCGGATGAGCTCCCTCGTTGACCGCTCGGGACACCGCTCTCAGCACACGAGGCAGGTCCGTTCCAAAGGTGCGGAACAGGATGGAGAACTCCCATTCTTCCTGTGTCAGGTCTCTGAGCAGCTGGAAGAAGGAAGGGAGGATCCAGTGGTACAGCCGTCCGTCCTCTCCTCTAACAGACAGCTCTTTGTCCCCCTGAAGGGAAAAGTAACCAGAAACGTGTAAATCAGACAGATCAAGTCTTTCTTTTGTGGCTTCAGACTCTCCCTTTTCATTAATGTTCTATTCAGAGTTAGCTTGTAACCGGTTAGCATAACGCCAATCATCCATAACATTATGACCACCTGCCTGACATGGTTTAGGCTAGGGTGGCCATATTTTGTTTTCAAAAACAAAACACTCGGCCGACTCGAGGCGCTGTGCTAGCCGATGATGTCACGCTACGGCAACGCCCCATTTTTCACTCGGCTAAACGCTAAAATCAAATCAGACGCCTCCAACATGACGGCTCTCAAAACAATCCATGTGAATTTTTCACATGTTTATATAATTAACTGCTCTGGATGTTTGCATAAGTGTTGAATTCTTCTGTATTCTTTCTTTTGTTCTCGTTTTGTTGCCACTTGTTCAATAAAGTTATTTAAAATAACACCCCAAATGTTTTTTTCCAGGTGAGGAAATGGAATAGTGTTTGGATAATTTTACTTATTAATGGTGAGCAGTCTGGGTTTTTCTATTGGACCAAACATCAGTTACAACGGTGACGAGGTATTTCTCTATGTTTCCCACGACCCCGAGCAGATCACGCTACCGGAGCTAATGCTAACGCTACCCTAACCCGCCGGACAGAGCATGAAAAGTGGACGTGAACAGAGGAAAGAGAGGATGTTTGGTCATCCTAAGCCCCGTTCTGAGGCTTAAACAGAAGGCTGTTGCATCCGTCACCAAGCAGCATCCTCTTTATGTCCTGCAGGTTCAGGCAGAGGCTTGCAGAACACAGACGGACATTTAGAGGCGGAGCTAACACCTCAGACTTGTTTTTGTTCTCTACAAACAAACTTGTGATTAGATAATCCCCACAGTGCTTGTCTGACGCACCGAAGCGACTGAGAGAAAAGCATCTTGGGCTGAATCAGTCGGAGTGAAAACATAATGACCACGATCACAGAGTCACCGGAAAAAGAAAAGAGTGAAAATAAAAAGCAACAGCAATCAGACAGGAGCCATTTTCTTTCTCTCATCACTCGCTTGCCTTGATGCCCTCTGGCCAGCGCAGCTGTTCCAGATGCTCATCCAAAACCCCTTTGAAGCGTCGCCCGGCAACGGAGGTGAAACCTGGTACCCGTCCAAATTGGGAGTAGTAGCTAACAGCGTCGCTGCTGGGTGGGTGGAGGGAAGGGGCGTCGCTCAGCCATTCCCATTTTCCTGGAGAGAAACAAAGGCAGATTCGGAGTTTCAAAACTGGGAATGAAGCACGGGTTTATTAAAAGAAACGAGGAAATGAATCTGAGGTCTCGAGACATTTTTATGTCATTTGGGACCGTTTTTAATTCTTTACATAATTTTAAAGCCTAAACAACAGGAGACGGTGTCAGGTAGCCGCGTCGCTGGTCTGAGATCAGACAAACGGGAACAAAACAGTTCAATCTTTTCAGAAAGCTCATCAAAACACTGAGAAGAGATTATCAGCTAGATCAAGCTCTGAGGTGATGATGGAGCTTCAATCATAAACTTAAAAACCTCGCAGACGATAAAGAAAACTTTCATTTTTCTCTGTATTTTAGCTTTTACTAACGGAAAAGGTCGATTTTAACCTTCTTTTATTGGCCCTGGAAAACCAGCAGTGTATCTGTGAAATTATTCTGGATTACAGCAATTTAGGGACGGAAAAGCATCAAGATAGGATGAGCAGGTTTTATCCTCCCTGGTATCGCGTCACCAGGCTTGTGGCTTCCTGCTCTTTGAGGTCACAGCTTTAGATCATAAGATATGCAGCTTTAAAGAGACAGGTCACATCTTCGTGTTCAGTTACCATCTTATCTGTTGGCTCCTGAATGGCGACAGTTACGAGAAACAGAGATTAGGTCTCAGGATAACTGGTCAGAATGGGGTCAGTCCTGATTTTAGCTTTTAGATTCAAATTTTCATCTTCAACCGGCAACGTTATGAACTTTGAGAAAATGGTGCTTTAGAAGCAGCTAATTTCTGCAGCAAAAACCAAAGATGTTCAACTAGAAACATGCAAGGCCAGATTTATCGATGAAGTTACATGAATTGTTTTTTTTTTTGCTTTGTTTTTATTTACTTTTTACCCAGGATTAAGGGTTAACTGATATTTTCATTTTTTTATACGTCAGCCGATATTTGTCCTCAAAGCGGATTTAAAT